TCTGACTAGAATCCAGGGGTCTTTCTCACTCCAAAGTTCATGCGTTTTCCTCACAGTGGGCAGCCTCCTTACCCAGCTGTCAGGGTCAGGCCAGGCACTACCTATGACTTTGGGTGCTGCTCCCCTCTGAGCCTCAGTTTCCCTAAAGCAAAGTGAGTAGATTGAACTACATCATCTCTGGGGTTCTTTCATAAATACTTTAGATCATAATTGATTTAGAATATGAAATGTCTCAGTTTCCCATAATCCCTGTTTATATTTAGCCAGGGTTATAGCTTAGCGTTCTGATTTGAAAAGGGAGTCTTTGCAAAACAGTCACAGCTCCTAAAATGTGAAGTTTTTAAAAAAAGAATAAAGAGCTCAACATGAAAGCTAGAATGTGATGCCAGTAGCACAAATGAAAATGCTATTCTTTAAAAATTCCAACCATGTGATTTAATTTTATATTTCTTCTTTCTATTTAAGAGAAAATACTACAAGCTTGAGAAGCAGTAAATATGTAAAGAGAAAATTTGTCAACCGAAACTGGAAGACCTGACCTAGGTCACACAGAAACCTTCCAGACAAGAGCCGCAGGGCAAGCCATAATTTCAGAGAGTAAAAGAGAAAATGAAAGCTATAGCTGGTGTCTTCTCTAAGTTACAGAGGTGGATTCATTTTAGTTTTCTGATTGTGCCTCTGAATATAATGTAAAAGCGGGTGGTAGCAAGATCTGTTTTACTATTGTATGGAAAAAGCTTCTCTACAGAGAGCAAAGCATAAAGTGAGACTTCCAAAATTGCTTTTTATCACCAGAGCCATTGACTAGTTGAGGCCCCACAAGCAAACTTTTACATTGGCAATCTCCTTTCCAGCATCATTTTTCACAGTCATAAGTCATGTTATAAGAGTTTTCTCTGCCGGGCGTGGTGGCTCAAGCCTGTAATCCCAGCACTTTGGGAGGCCGAGGCGGGTGGATCACGAGGTCAAGAGATCGAGACCATCCTGGTCAACATGGTGAAACCCTGTCTCTACTAAAAATACAAAACATTAGCTGGGCATGGTGGCGCGTGCCTGTAATCCCATCTACTCAGGAGGCTGAGGCAGGAGAATTGCCTGAACCCAGGAGGCGGAGGTTGCGGTGAGCCGAGATCGCGCCATTGCACTCCAGCCTGGGTAACAAGAGTGAAACTCTGTCTCAAAAAAAAAAAAAAAAAAAGAGTTTTCTAATTGCTAACTGGATGGTCCTTGTAAGGAAGTATATGTGATAAATGTTAGTAGAATAATGCCAAGACCTAACTGATACTTGTGGCTGCCTTTTATGAAGTCATTCTTCCCCATTTAAATACATAAGAGTCTGTCTTACATCAGAATGAGACATAACTATCCCAATAGTGTGGTTTTAAATCTTGGATCTAACAGCTAATGCAAGAAAAATCTATGCCCAGAAAAGGGAAGAGGTTCATCTAATTCATCTATCAAAATGCTACTACTTCTAGAGATTGATTAACCAAGTGTGTGACTGGAACAATTATTGTTCTCTCTCTCATTGTCCCAAAGTACTAGTTAGACATAGAAAACACTCAACACACCCAAAATGTATAAGCAGGAGTGTGGGCTCGGACAAGTTAGTTACAAACAGCGTTTCGTATGTTGTGAGGTGCAGGCAGTACATCAGCCCTAACAATATTATTGTGTTCCTCTGAACTCTGCTCTCACAGCTAAGCATTTGGAAGGCAGACCCAGAATAAAGATAGGCATTCACAAAGCCAGCATTTTATATTGAGGACCCTTGGTTCCACTTTTAATGTGCTATAAAACTAGGGGCTTCACTTTTTTGTGAACTGTGTGCAAAAGCAGAGGCAATGACTGGAGGTTGACTGTTTGGATCTGTTTTATGGCTGCTGCGCCTAGACAGTAATGTGATCTTGAAAAAGGTAAACAACAAAGAGTTTAACAGTGAAAAATATGCCTAATATAAATACAGCCAAGTACATGGCAGTTCAGAATTTTAAAAATATGACTGTGGCAGTAGATTTTCTGATGAAATTAACAGAGGAACAGAATACAGGCTTTATGGCAATATATCTGAGACAGAAAAAGGAGATAATAGATCTAACTCTGTGGTCTGTGTGGCATTCATATAAAGAAAAGCACAGTAGCTTTATTTAATTGAGAAAATGAATCAATTACAATGATGTTGCATCATCAAATTCTTGTGAAATAGAAGATATAAGTCACTGTATTGTGTAACTGTTAAAAAGTAATTGAGTATCTTAAGCATTTTGAATCAATTTCAGGTACTGACACTGCTACCTTAATATAAAATTTATGAAGATGATTTCATATAATACATTGCTATCAAAACTGTATAATAAAGCCCGATAACAACGTCTCTCTTTAAAAACCTGGGCAAAACAGTATAGTTATAAGATTATTAAAAAAAGACTTTGATACTGCTGTTTTTCTTTTAGTAAAAAGCAAGCATAAATGGTACAATTTTAAGTTGTCTTAGACCAAGCTTTTAACCTGCAGAATAGGGCAAACTAGAGACCTTGTTTAAGACCTCAGTTCATGAGGAAGTGTTCTCCCCTCAGTTAATCTGATTCCGTTCTCCCCTCAGTTAACTCATATGTTACTGGGAACTAACTCTAATCCTCTAATTAATTAACTAACTAATTCTCCCCCCAGTTAACTCATATATTACTGGGAACAATGTTTCATAATCCATGTCTGAATTCATTTCAAAACCTCTCACTTAGAATGTTTGCCGCGTGTTCTCAGAGAATGTTGTCATCCCCCGACTCTTAGAAATTTGTGAAGCACATTCTTTTTGATGTCAGAAGTGGGTTTCTAATTCTCTGTTCATTACAAATAACTCTGCTGTTGTAGTAGATATATCTTACTAGGAATGTGGGGGTGGGGAAAGTATCGTGTGTGCTTGAGAAATAAACACGGTAGATATCTCATGTCACAGGAGAGGTTATCTCGGCTTTTCAGTACTTTTTTAAAGGTGGTGTGGCTTGTTAATGAAATTCTTAACCCCTTCAGGGTGGGGGTTACAGCTCCGCCTCCCCTTGTAGTGTAAATCTTTACCTGCAGAATCTTGTCTAGAAGTACTCCTGGACTGGAGGAACCAGAACAAGCAGTAATTCAGGACAACATGAAGCAGTAACTATCAACAGAGACTAAGCCAGTCAACCTGGGACGGAGGTTTCTGAAAGTAGTGATTGGGGAGGAAGTGATGAAAAACTAAGAGGAGCAATGAGTAGGCACCATGTTCATTTGACAAATACGTGGGAAAACACCTTTTTTTTTTTTTTTGAGACGGAGTTTCACTCATGTTACCCAGGCTGGAGTGCAATGGCACGATCTCGGCTCACCGCAACCTCTGCCTCCTGGGTTCAGGCAATTCTCCTGCCTCAGCCTCCTGAGTAGCTGGGATTACAGGCACGCACCACCATGCCCAGCTAATTTTTGTATTTTTAGTAGAGACGGGGTTTCACCATGTTGATCAGGATGGTCTCGATCTCTTGACCTCGTGATCCACCCGCCTCGGCCTCCCAAAGTGCTGGGATTACAGGCTTAAGCCACCGCGCCCGGCCCGGAAAACACCTTTTAAACCATTCAAGCACTAGGAGGAAGGGTGTGCTGATCAGCCACATGGATGCAGAAGAAATGCATAAACGTAGCAGCACCCCTTGAGAAACTCACAGTCTAGGTGACAGGAACCAACATGTCAAAATTGATAATTTATCAACAATACCATACCAAGTATAAATGTATGCAAATCCAGCTGTTTTCAAGTAACTCTGTGATCATAGGCAGGTGTAATACAGATGCTGGAAGGAAAGCTGCTCGGGAGGAGCCCCAGCACTACCACAGCCTGGCCCTGAGGCCTCAGTCCTGGACCCTGTCCTCTGAGAGACCCAGTTTTCCCATCATAGAGTAAAGATGATCATCTCTGCCAACCTCAGGATGCTTGTGCAGATAAAATGAGTGTGTATATGGGGAAGAATTTTCTAAAGCACCTTTAAAAACCATGTAAGGGACTATGACTAGTTTCCCTTTATTTTACCAGCTGGTTGGAGCTCATTTATCTCAGAAAACAGTTGACTCATCAGTAACAGTATTTGGTTCCTGAAAAGTTCTCTGTTAGAAAATTCAGTACCTGGGGTTTCATTTTCATTGAGTTTAGAATAACTGTCGGCTTTATTTTTCCTGGATGGGGAAGCATTGAAGTGTTTAGTACTTTAATGACTAAGAGGATGTTTTATTAATTTTTGTGTCACATTTTAGTAGCTTTCTAAGAAATGTAGTTTATCAGTGTTAAATGTGTGAGCAGCCTGCCTTCAGAATGTTGATCAGAAACGCACTCTTACTGGACTCTGCTTTTATTCCCTAAAAAACAGTGTAAAACTTGCATGAATTTGATTTTCCCAGAGAGCGTTGCTGCCCTGGAAACAGGCTGAAGGAGCTTTGGAAAAGGTGGAGTCGTTACCCCACTCCTAAGTTAGGGGCAAATACTTCAACCACATAATTAAAGTTTTCTTCACAAAATAGGGGATTGTGAACAGACACTGGCAAGAATCCAAAATTCTAATTTCTGACTATGATTTAATTTCAATTTTAAATAAATCGGTTTTTAATTTAAAAAGAGTGAGCTTCATAACATTAGCAATGATTGCAACATTAAGCCCAGTGTTCACAATCTAGCAATATAAAACATTATTTATATCTGAATCGTAAACAGCCTTCTGAAATGGATTATGGTTTTTCTCCCTATTCTAATACAACCTGGAGGGTACTAAAAAGTGTTGTGTGAAATTAACATTCTGCTGACTTTCGCCTATAAATGAGAAGCGAGCTATTAACATTTGTGTATTTTCATTATGTAAATTGTGTTAACACATGCCCACAAATTGCCACCAGCAATGCAATAATTTTCTCTCAGTGATCATAATGTGTCCAAGTGAGTCATTTTGATTATGACATGCTAATTACATATTGCCTTTTTTCAGATTCAGAAAAACCAGGGATCTTTAATGGTAAGCTTTATGAGTTCAGAAAAAAATTCACTTTTCTTTTTCCTGATGGCTGCTTCCTTTGCATGCTTGAATGCCTTGTTTTAAACTTAGCAAATTGCATTTTGAAGAAAATGCAAACCTTTAACTGCCTGTATTAGATTAGGTACCATTAGAAATAATAGAACATCCTGAGCATCAATGTTTTTATAAGAGTTTGCTGTTGTTGATTAATCTTGCTATATTTTATTGCATTAATGATTTTTTCTTTCCACTCCACTGTAAAGATATTGCATAGAGGCTAATACTTTTTCCTCTCTTCTTTTCCATTGCAGCCTCTCCAGCTTCTGCAGTGCATTGTTGATGAGGTGAGGCATCGTCTTATGTGCTTTCACTCCTAAAGTCATTCCTAATGGTGTGGAAAGCTTATATTTTGTTTCCTAATGAAGCACAATGCCCAACATCCTTAGAGCAAGTTGTGTTGTATGGATCTGAGCTGTGTTACGTGAACTGGCCTTGTCCTGAATCCCGCTCTTCTGATTCTGGCCAAGAAACCCTGCAAAAACAGACTGTCCCGCAGGCTGGTCCTCAGGGGTATCAGACGCCCTAAAGATAGAACGCAGTAATATTAATTGACCCTCTCCATGGCCAGATGGGGATGGAGCTGGAAATTTAAATGGTATCATTTTTTTCTTCAACAGATATTTAAAGTCATTCAGAAGGCAAGGGTCAGAGTTGAACATCAAGCATAAGCTGGATGAAATTTGCCTGCCTTGAGTTATTTACCCAAAGCATATCAGAGTGATAAAAGGGTTCAAAAACTCTTGGTCAACGGTTCAGCTTTAATTTCCTAATTAGGCATTTTTCTCAGAATATGCCCCTAACATCTTGTGTATTCTAGTAGCTGAAAACCTGTATTCTCACATTTTAATTGAGCTTACCTCTGATCATCCTTATTTATTGAGTTCCACTGTTCCTTTGCCTTCATGGTGCCAATCTACCCGCCTTTCTCTCGTAACCAACTTTGTCTACTTCTTATTCTGACTTTAAATTCCCTTTTTCCATAGATCATCAGTCTTGTAATACACAGGGCTCTCAAGAAACATTAACATTTTCTTTAAAAACTGAGCTTTTTGGGCCTGGGTTTGCCTACTAGCAATGTTTATTTTTTTAAACTTTAATTGTATAATATTTAAAACACTTATAATTAGAGAGGGAAGGCAATAAATGATTCAGATAGGAAAGTTTGAAAGAAAAAAATTGTAATTCATAATTATTCCTCTCAATTAAACATCTGCATAACCAGTTATGAGATTTGGGAGAAAAAATAAAGATCCTCCTAGGAAAAAAACAAATACACACACATACCACAATAATAGTAAGAGTGGGGCTCCAACATCCTTAATGGTTACATCAGTCAGTCCGTATATCCCACGCAAGCCATAAACCATGTTGATGTAAAAATGAAGGCATCGTCCTGAAACAAATGGAGGCTCCATTATCTCTAATATCAGACAGACCCCCTGGATCTAATAGCTCATCAATATCCTCTGTCATCTTAGGTTCCAAAACATACTATCCCCATCAGAATCCTCCCAGTTTAACTAGTTTTCCTGAGGTCCCCCTCCAGTTTTGCTTGGGGAAGTGCCTGGGGAAACTTGCCTACCCAGCTTCATGCACAGCCTCCTGTGTTTCCTGGGCTCTACCGTTGGTCTGTCAGGCTCCTAGGCATCAGAAGAACATCCAGGTAAAGACATTCCTCACCAATACTATGTGTGTTTCTGGACAGCTCATCTGAAGATTTTCTGCATCAAATAGATGTTTTCATTCCTTATTTAAAGTAGCAGTGATTGCTATTCAATTTAAAATATCTTACTCGTTTAATTTGGACAAAATCATGAGACTTTTGAAATTACCATAGGGAGATGTTGTATTTAAGGGATGAAGATTGATGAAGTACAATAATATGTAACTTAAATGGCATATGTTTCTTCATAACATTTCTTCCTTAGTCAAGAGAAAAATGTAACTTCAACATCTATTCCTATTTACTCTAAAACCATCTTCATTGTGGAAACTTGGGAAATGAACATTGCCAAGTTGATCTTGGAACTGAGCTGATATTCTGCAATAAAAGTATTAGGAAAGGATTGGCCAAATGACCGGCCTTAGACAAGACGAATTATAGCATCTCGGAGAGGAAGGATTGGTGGGGTCCTGTGCTTACTGCGCTTGTCCTGTGTGTCTGTCAGAGTTCTCATTGCTGTCATGCAGTGTTCCTCATAGGGTGGTCCAAGGACTGACTGCATCAGAATTGCCTAAGGCTTTTGTGATAATGCAAATTCCTGGGCTCAGATCACTGAATTAGACTTTCTAGGGGTCCAGCCTAGAGTCCACTAGCTTCCCAGGTAACTCTCTGCACATTAAAGTTTGAGAACCACTTCTCAAACTTCCCTAACTGCTTGCTAAGTCTAAGTCTTCCCCTTTAGTTCCCAAAGGGCAGTTAGCTAGCCATCTTCATTTGCATCTGACTTTTAGGCCTTTTATTTGTGAATGAATATGCCCAGTCAAGATTTGAGTTTTTTACTGCTTGGGAGCAGGATTTACCCCATTGTGAAATGGGTATCTGATGCTAGAATACTATTGCCTGTTAGAGAAAAGTCAGATCAAAAAGTACTTCTCCTGAGGGAGCTTAATTCAGACAAGATGGGTATATTGGCATCATGTACAAAATAGCTATTGCAAAGCCCAGTGTAACATATTTTCTTATTGTGTGAATTCAGCTTGACCTCCTGTTGTGGCCTGGCGAAGAGCAAAGATGTAGTAAAACACCACTAAGGTGCGCAAGAGCCAGTCCTGGAGTGGCCAGAGATGAATGTTAGAGCCAGTCTGGGAGTCAGGAGGTGGAATCATGGAACAAAGCCAGTGTTAGCAACCAGATGTCCAGACAGAAGACACCAAAAACTAAGCAGGAGTAAGAATCATGACCATGAAACTCAGACCACAGATCAGGAACTGGGAAGGTAGCCAAGGTAACAGGAAAATTGATCTCCAATCAGAAATCTGGGTGGTCCAATTAAATTTTGGTGGGTGGCGTTTCTCTGAATTTGCGCTGGCTAGCTCAGGTGTAAGTGATAGCTTAAAGACATCATCTGGTGCCTCAGAGTTGCTTCTCAACAGAACGTCCCTTAAGGTCCTTATGGAATCAGGTCCTCCCTCAGTCCCTGAATACCTGCATTGTAAAGTGCTTTGGTTCTTTGTAAGTGATGTGTGTCTATGTGTACCTGATGCCTTAGCCATCTGATATATTTGGGAAATAAGTTGGCCCCTGTTGTCCAAATAACTGAAATTTATTACTTTAAACTCTGACAGCTATGAGAAAATTTGCATTTTTAGAAAGAAGTGTTTCTAAAATCTATTTGTTTTTGGCAGCCTGTTGGCGGAGTGTGGTGAATATCATTTAACCTTTTCTCAGTGACTTAGGCCCTTGTTCTGAACATGGTACTGAACTTAAACTTTGACGTATTGATACCCTCCAGGGCTGTAAAATTGTATGAGGTTTACCTTGTTCTTTCACTGAATTTTACCAGCCATTTTGCCAGAGTATTTGGCATCGACAGTGATATTGGTGGGCCTCTTGAAGTGTATAGTGCACTTTGTAGTAACTGTGCTGCTCTGCGTGGTGCTTTTCCTGTACCCGCTTGTGATTGCCACTGTTTTTTGTGGGCACTCCTCATTCTTGTCAGTGACTACCTTTTGTCTCAATAATCTGACCATCTGTCTTCCATCTTTTTTTTTTTTTTTTTTTTTTTTGAGATGGAGTTTCGCTCTTATTGCCCAGGCTGGAGTGCAGTGGCAAGATCTCTGCTCACTACAACCTCCGTCTCCCAGGTTCAATCGATTCTCCTGTCTCAGCTTCCAAAGTAGCTGGGACTATAGGCACATGCCACCACACCTGGCTAATTTTTTGTGTTATTAATAGAGATGGGGTTTCACTATGTTGGCCAGGCTGGTCTCGAACTCCTGTCTTCAAGTGATTCTCTTGCCTTGGCCTCCCAAAGTGCTGGGATTACCTGCGTGAGCCACTGCACCTGGCCTGTCTTTGATCTTTGCACTCCTGACAGTGACCTTACCAAAACTAAAAGGTGCCATCTGAAATCATATACTACCCATATATGTACTACCCAAGGTGGTATATATAGTCAAATACGGTGGTTCACGCTTGCAATCCCAGCACTTAGGGAGGCCATGGCAGAAGGATTCAAGACCAGCGTGAGGCAACACAGCAAGACCTCGTCTCCAAAAAATAAAAAAATTAGCCAGACATGGTGGCATGCACCTGTGGTTCTAACTACTGGGGAAGCTGAGGTAGGAGAATCACTTGAGCCCAGAAGGTTGAGGCTACTGCGGTGGGCCATGATGGTATCACTGCACTCCAGCGTGAGTGACCGTGAGATCCTACCTCAAAATAAATAAATAAATAAATAAATAAATCACGAATTATAATCACAAAGAATAAAGTACTTAGGAATAAATCTAACAAAAGAAGTGGAAAGTTTTGTACACCAAAAACTACAAAGCATCACTGAAATAAATGGAAAGACCAGGCACGGTGGCTCACACCTGTAATCCCAGCACTTTGGGAGGCCAAGGCAGATGGATCATGTGAGATCAGGAGTTTGAGACCAGCCTGGCCAAAACAGCGAAACCCTGTCTCTACTAAAATTACAAAAATTAGCCAGGCAGGGTGGTGGACACCTGTAATCCCTGCTACTCGGGAGGCTGAGGCAGGAAAATCACTTGAACCCAGGAGGCAGAGGTTACAGTGAGCAGAGATCACGCCACTACGTTCCAGCGTGGGCGACAGAACAAGACTCTCTCTCAAAAAACAAAAGAACTGGAAAGACATTTTATGTTCATGAAGTGAGACTTAGTATCATTACGATGGAAGTACTCTCAAAATTGATCTTCAGACTCACTGTAATTCATATTAAAACTCCAGTAGGCTTTTTTGCAGAAATGGATAAACTAATCCTAAAATTCCTATGGAAATGCAGGGGACTCAGAATAGCCAAAACAATCATTGAGCCGGGCGCGGTGGCTCAAGCCTGTAATCCCAGCACTGTGGGAGGCCGAGGCGGGTGGATCACGAGGTCAAGAGATCGAGACCATCCTGGTCAACACGGTGAAACCCCGTCTCTACTAAAAATACAAAAAATTAGCTGGGCATGGTGGCGCGTGCCTGTAATCCCAGCTACTCAGGAGGCTGGGGCAGGAGAATTGCCTGAACCCGGGAGGCGGAGGTTGCGGTGAGCCGAGATCGCGCCATTGCACTCCAGCCTGGGTAAAAAGAGAAAAACCCCGTCTC